TCACTTATTTCCCATTTGAGACAAAAGGAGTCTCCTCACCCCTTCCCCCTATGTTTTGTGCGTCCAAGCCACCCCAATCAAGGAGGAGAGCTCTGCAAACTTTCATCTCCATAGCCAAGAGAGCTCAAGGAAGCAAGGAGCTCAAGCAAGAAGAAAAAGGTTGCAAAAGTAGAGAAAAACCTTGGGAATAAAGGTGAGAAGCTCCTTAACAACTTTCTTCCATCTCTTGATTTCATATGACTTATATATCATATGAAATACCCTTAAGGATGTTCTACATGGTTGTAAGTGTGGAACAAGGGAGTCGAAAGTAGCTCTAAGTCCAAGAACGGACTTAGGAGCCAAAACGACCGGTTAGCCGGAAAATAACCTTTTAAAGGTTATTTGTATTGATATGGGTTTTGTGATGATAAAACCATGTTAGGAACGTGTCAAGGGTGAATTGAGAGCTTTCACGAGGTTTAAGGAGTCGCCGGAGTGGTCACCGGAGTTCGTCAAAGTTCACCGGAGTTTGGCCGGAGTTCAACCGAGAAGGGTAGAACTTCATCACGCTCATTTGAGGTGAGTGGACGGCTTAATGTCTTATAACTCTTGGGTTAATTATGAGATTACCTAAGTAAACGTTATATGTGTTCATAATGATGTTTAAAAGATGCTTAAACATGTGACTTTCCAAAGTGATTAGACTTATATGTATGACCCATGGATATCATAAATGAAGTATGATATGAAAATGTTTATAAAAACATATATGATGTTTTAAGGGATAAAAGGGGCATAAAATGCTTGGTTATAACTTAATACATGTTGGGATTAAGTTTGACGCAAATCGGGTTTGAAATGGCGAGTCAACGAAAATGTTGACTTGGTTGCCCGGGGGCAACCGGCGCCGGTTATAGGCAAAACCGGCGCCGGTTATGGATCGGCATGGCCGGTTTTATTAAATTAAATAATAACCGGCGCCGGTTATGTCAAAACCGGCGCCGGTTTGGCACTGTTTTGCCTATATGTTGATTTTAATGCATGAATTGCATGGATGATTATGCTTAGGCCTTAAGACTTGGTTTAGTCTTGATTATTGATTATGATATAGACCTTATCTAGGATGATATGTGGTAGATCATAAGTCGGGTGGAGTACCCAAGGATCGGGCGGTATCCTCAAAACTCGGTTATAGGGTGGAGTACCCAAGGATCGGGCGGTATCCTCAAAACTCGGTTATAGGGTGGAGTACCCAAGGATCGGGCGGTATCCTCAAAACTCGGTTATAGGGTGGAGTACCCAAGGATCGGGCGGTATCCTCAAAACTCGGTTACAGGGTGGAGTACCCAAGGATCGGGCGTGTATCCTCAAAACTCATAGATTATTATTTTATAATTTGGGACCGGGCGGTGTCCTCATGTTAAGATGATTTGAACCAGGAGGAGTTCTATACACTCATAGGTATATGGGTGGGTTGGGGTTTAAGCCAAGGTTAACGGCTATATTATTTCCCAAATAAACAATGACCTAAGGGTCGGGTATTTCCGAGTGTATATATAATGATATATATTTCATAACTTGGGGGAAAGAACTATATGTATATGTATCACCCTATGTTTGGGTCTTATACTTGAAACGTTAGTTATTCTACATTTAGCCTGCTACTCGCTCGGTACTTGTACTGACCCCTTCGGGGGGCCCCACCATTTCAGGTTGAAGCTCAAGCTTGCTATTCTCACCTTGCTCGGTGAAGTGATCTAAAGGGAGACGTGGTTCGTGCTTCCTTTACCGTTTTTAAACTATAAACTATGCTCGTGGATAATTTGTAATAAGTACATTTGTTTGGGCCTGCGAGTCCACGTTTTGGCCATATGTGGCCCATGATTGAATATTGAATAATTCCGCGATTCGTTCAATCCAAATATGTGATGTTGTTATGTATGTTTACTTACTGAGTATGGTATGAACAATGTTCATGGACGCCTTGTATGATTAAGTTACGTTGACTTGCGAGTGACGTCATTTAGTCATACGGCGGTTGTACACGCGCTCGGATGTGGTCCGGGGCGTGACAAGAAGACCTAATATATATGGAGATCTGAGCTCATTATGGAGAACACATCAGTCCTGATCAAGTACATTTAAGAGAACCTTGCTCAAAAGGAAATAATTCATTCTCAAAGGAAAAGATACAACAAAGGAGAATTTGGCCAACAAGGAAAGCTTTTTAAATGTCATAAAGTCTTGGCGGCTCTTAGACCAAGCTTGTGCATGGAGAGGTTTGTGCTTGAACTGAGAAGAGCATACTCAAATAAGGAGAGTTATACAAGGGTGTAATAGAAACCCGATCGAGTACCTGAGACAGTACTATTAGCAGTTCTATCATATTGGACTATTGGGGTTAAGATGAACATTTAAGAATGTTTTCCTCTGAGGGTTGGGGTGTGAAGTGAGAGCGGTGTTGTAAACCTGAGAGACTCTTTACCCTCAAGGTAATGTAGTGAGAACTCTACCTATAGAGGTTAGAGTTGGGGTGACTCAAGGGTGAACTAAAATAGTTTATCTTGTAACTTGTTTAAAAGCTTTTAGAGAAGAGTTTCTAAATTCTTCTTAGGGAGGTCTAGGTTTTTAATCCCTGATGAGTGACTTGAGTCAAGAAATTTTTCCTCGTTAAATCTTTGTGTCCTTTAATTTTTGTTTTCCCCTGCCTCACATTAGAACTCGGCAAAAAATTGTGATATATAATTCCAAACACACACAAAGTATATATTTGTGTGTATCCATAATCCTAGAAATATTATATGTGTGCGCGCATAAACGCATACATATTTTATTTATTTATTTATTTATTTACTCCAGGGGGCGTCTGGGGGAGGGGACCTGGGGGGCCTGAAGTAATGAGCGCTGAAACTCAGTCCATTAAGTTTTGAACTCAAGACCCCCCGTAAGGAAGAGTGCGTCTGCGATCAACTAGGCTGGACCGCTTCCTCATAATAAACGCATACATATATAATTATTTCACTAAAATTTTAATACTACGTATTTATTAAACTATAAACGTCATTCAATAAATACTTTGTTCTATTGAGTATTTATAAATTATACGGAGTACTATATTTGTCCATCTAACATTAGGGACAAGAAAGAGTGATGTGATTATTAACAAAACTAGAATTGTGCGGTCAGCCGATACTTATTAAATTGATAATGTATGAATAAAGTAAGAATGAATTGTAATTATTAAAATAAGTCAAATTGAAGTTACATTTGTTTACATGATTGAATGAAGTTACTATAGGTGGCTATTTTAACGATTTTTTTAAATATCTTATCTTTATTTTATTAATAAACTATTTTTGAAAACGTAATACCATTTCTCGACAAGTATTGGATTCACATTAATTAAAATTTCATCAAATTCACCCGATTAATTATAAAAAGGAACTCCTCTTCAAAAAAAATTATAAAAAGGAACTCTTAGTTTAAAGTGTATTTTAATCCTTCAATTAGAAACAGAGAGTAAGCTCATTACCACTCCAAACCTAGCTTGTCTTTTTGCCACCAGGGGCGCTCAGTAAACGTATGTTTCTCAAGGGTCAACCCATGTTTGTATAATTGTATTGCATCTATCATCATAAATATATGTGCTGAAATGTGTCTGAGGCCATGGCCTCGACCCAAAGAGCCGTTTTGCATTTAGTTGATGACAATTACGCCCAATGGTTCTGTTGAGGGCTTGGGCATTTAATGCTTACATCTATCTAAGGAGATAAGGAGATTAGTGATTGAACGCTAGAGTTTGAATGAGAGACTCGTGGTGCCCACTCATTTTGGCACATTCCACACCCACTCAACTATAGACTTGGTATAAAAACAGGCAGATTATATAGACCATTTACATGAATTAGAGCATTTTTAAGAGGCAAGCGATTTGCTTTGCAGCTTTCCTTGTCATGTCTAACTATTTCTAGATAGCACATCTTTCAGTAACACGAAGTATCTGACACTTGATGATTAATTACAATGTATGGTTTATTGAATAAGCCCCACAAATTAATCAACATTGAAATTATACATTTTTAATGAATTAATTTTCAATAAAATAAAAATAATAATCTTATTTTTAAATACTTTTAAATTTAGAAAGTATAATTATACTCTTAATATGTGACAAGTTATTATTTTTTTCTTCCACGCATACTGTGAAGCTATGAAGCACGGATACTTCACTAGGGTGCCGTATCGGCGTATCGGAAACGTCCTCGTATCCGATACTCTAGGATACCTGTACCGTACGTTCCCGGGCCATATCTGCAATTTTTAAAAGTTTCCATTTTCTTGGTAATTATTTTAAAATTTCGGATACAGGTATCCTGACGGATACCTGTATCAACATTTTTTTTTAAAAAAACATACAAAAAAACTTTTAAAAAACACTCAAAATTTACATAATAAAATTCTTAAAAAATTAAAAGCTAAATATAATTTTTACCTTGCCTATTACTAATTCACGCATCCTCCTATCCCTAATTCTAATTATCTCTGGAAATTAATAGCTCCAACGGAAATATGTATTAGAACTTTTAAAATATTGTTTTCTATCTTCATTATTCTAAAACTTTGAGTACTTGCACTTTTGATTCCAAAATTGTAGTTGTTTGACTTATTTCTCATTTTAAATTAATGACTTATTGACTATATTTATATTTCGAGGTGCACTAGTGTATATGAGATAAAATATGAACTTATTTCTATTGAACTTTTAAAATGCTTCAATGCCATGAATGAGTAGATGTCTGAGGATAATATGTCTATTTTTTCCAAAAAAAAATTGCATATTTAATATTTATGAATACACCCCTGTGACTTTTAATATTTTTAAATATGGCCCCGTATCCGAATCCTACTTTTTTGTTTTGTCGTGTCCCCGTACCCGTTTCCGCGTTTCCGCGTACCCGTATCGGTGCTACATAGCTGTGAAGCATTGTTTTGGTAAATGATACTCCCTCACTTTTCCTCAAAGTAACATGTATTACGGAGTATTATTTACTAGTATCTTTTTACTACTTAAACTTCAAAAATACTTCAAATTTCCACTTACTAATTTCAAATTTGGAGAAACGTGGTGTTACTTTACAAAATATTTGTAAATCGTGTTTGCAGGAAGAAGAAACTACGGATCATGCTCTCAGACAATGTCTGAAGGCAGCCAGGGTATGGAATACAGTTGGAGTGAACACCGCGGATGACGACATCTCTTTGCTTAGTTGGATACAAAATCTTTTGTCAAGGCCGGATAAGGAGTTGCGGTGTAAAGTTGCCATGTTACTTTGGGGAATTTGGAAACGGCAGAATTCTTTGGTGTGGAATGATGAGTGGCAGCAACCAGCGGGCTTAATAAACTGCTGCGCAAGCGTGCTGCGAGCGTGGAGAGAAGCGCAGCAGTCCCCGGCCGGCAGCTACGAACGGCAGTGCAAGCTTGGGAGACGTAGGCTGGACGAGGCCGAGGATGGGTAGGATCAAGGTTAATACTGATGCGGATCTGGATATGGTTAGAGGGGGTTCGAGCTTGGAGTTGGATAGCAAGAAATGATGCGGGTGAGTTTGTGAAGGCTGTGGGAGGCTCTTGTGAGGCTGGGTGGGACCCGGAGGAGGCCGAGGCTTTCGCATTGCGGGAAGCAGTTCACGCGGCTAAGAGAGAAAACTGGGAGCTCGTTGATTTCGAAACCAATGCTCAGACAGTTGTTCGAAGCCGAGGAAAGGGGGAGGGATGGCTTACATAGATCTCCTTGTTGATGATATTCGTTTTTTATTACAAGAAAAGAGTTCTTATCATCTTATGGTATCTCTTATTGTAGAGGATCTGCGAATCATGTGGCCCACGCTTTGGCGAGAGCACGTGTCGGTATCTCAAATCATAGAGTTAGTTATGATTTTGCTCCGGATTGTATTGCTAGCCCGATGGCTAATGATTTACTATCAATATAAGTGGTTGGTTTTATTTCAAAAAAAATCAAATCAAATGTGGTCTAGGGATGTCAAAAAAAAACCGACCCGCAATGACCCGCCCTAGCCCGAGACATTTGGGGCGGGTCCGCCCCGTCCCGTCTTGCAAATGGGGCGGGTCCGGGTATTAGAATTGACCCGTGCCGCCCCGACCCGACCCGCTCAATATAGGGAATTTTTCACAAACAGGCTAAAACGGAAAGTAATATCATCTTTTTCCGTTTTTGAAAGTTTTCTCAGAAATAGACAAGTTGAAGTTTACTTTTCAAAAAAAGACCTACGCTTAAACACTACACTCCGCTTCCACTTGCTCCGTAATACGGAGTAATCAGGTATCTTAGCTGCAAACAATGGACCCACTACCTAACTAATATGTCACACACTTTCATTTATTACTGTAATTGAAAAATAACAATTAAAAGTAGTAACAAAATAAGAACAAAAGTTGTTGTGAATGTAAAGATGTTAAAAAAATTCAAAAACAACTGAATAATTATAAAGTCAAGAAATTAGGAAGACAATGAATTAGCAAAATGGTAAAAAAGAATATAAAAATAAAATAAATGTATAAAAAATACGTATTATATATATATATTTTCAATTTTGAATAAACCTTAAAAATAAATAAATATAAAACTCCATAGTAAAAATTCAAAAACAGAAAACTTGTATATTAAATTTTAAAATTAAAATAAATGAATTCAAAGATTAAAAACACAAATCAGAAAATTTTAAAACTGAAGCATATAGAGAATAGAGAAATAAAATGTTGAAAAAAAAAATTAAAAAAATTTAAAAAGTTTGGAGATAGTCAAAAAGTACAAAAATGCTTCTTGTAGTGTCAGATTTTTTAATAGATAATATGATTTATATAAAAATGTAAAATGCCAAAATATAAAATTTAATAAAAATTAATTGAAAAGTAAAAATATTAAAAGAATGTAAAAAATTCATAGTTATGAACAAAAAAAAGTAAATGAGATATTTTATTTCAAACTATTAAAAATAAATAGAAACTTTATAAAAATTATTTTTTAAAAAAATATCATAAATTAATAAATATAACATTAAAATTTTCAAAAAGTTAAAATCAAATTTTATAAAATATCAGAAAAATATTAAATACAATTTATAAATACATAACAAATCAGAAAATTAATGAAAACTAAAAGCGTGTAATATCTGAACTTTTTGAAAAATTAAAATAACGTACATGGTTATTTTTATGCATGTTGTTTGTTTGTTTGTGTTTCTTTTTGTTTATATCTGTGAAATTTTTGTTTCTCATTGTTTCCTTAGATTTGCAGTTACTTTTTAGTTATAAATTCAAATTTATCATTTCAAGTGATGGTATAAGTCAATAAATAACTTTTTCGAGGAAGTAGCAAAGATAATTACAAAACTAAATACAAATCAGAAATCCAAATCAACTATAAACAATCATAATAAATAACATGATGCAACAATAAACAACACAATGCAACAATAAACAACATGATTCAACAAAAAGAAACACATACGATGCAACAAAAAGAAACAAAAAAAACATATACAAATATTAGAAAATGAGAGACAAATAAAAACAATGAAGCAGAAGCAGAGAGAAGTAAGGATAACAGTGAAAACACATAGTTGCATAAACAAAAAACACCATGTTGCATTAGATTAAATAAGAAGATGCAACAATAATCAACACGATAGCAACAAAATAATGTATACGATGCAACAAAATGAAACAAAAAATAAAACACAAAGCATTAAAATAAATACACACAAATAGCAGGAAATAGAAGAAAAGAAAAACAAGGAAAGCAATGAAAGTAGAGCCAGCTTTTCATTGCAGAATTTATAAGAATGTCATTCAAACTTTCAGTTCAATTCTCTGCCAAAAGAAACAAATGGATGTAAAGAACCTTAGAAATTATACAACAATAAGCTAAGTCGTAAACTTTCTAATCCAATAATATGTTCTGAATAGCCAACTACTATTTTTTTTACCAATTGAAATGAAAATGTTTATACTTCGTATAAGATAATCATGCAATGCCCCAGAGTACCGTGTCATCTTTTATTATATGAATGAGAAGTTCAAATCTATTTATTTTTGTTTTCAAGAACTTAGCAAGCAACGATTTACTCTAGATGCTAGGGAGTAAAATTTAGCAGAATGGCTGTGAAATGGCATCCATCATTAAGGTACAATCCATTAATCATTTCCTTGTTCTCAGGCTTGGATGGTTTTGCAAAAATATCTGCAGTGAATTTTTGAGTTGCACTGATACTCCAGTTGATTATAATAGCACCCCTGACAAAAAAAAACTCATAAAAAGCTTAAATTTTTACCAAGATTACTTATTTCACAAGTGCTCTTATAAGCATGTGTTTTCTTCAAAAAGTACCAATAAGATGTTTTCTGAACACTTGAAACACTGATTAGTTCAAAACGCAAACCACCAAAACTAGGCGCACCTCATAAAAGCAATTTGCGGGTTCATCTTCCTTGTTGCAATTTTCAGAAAATCCTCATCAGTAAAGGAAAAGGTTGCATCAGGCCTTCCATCCTCATACTTCCCTGAATTCATCCAAAGACAACTATTTTTCACTCATAGTGTTCTATTATCTATTAAATCTAGCAGGAAATCAGAAGCCCTGACTTTCGCTGACCTCCCCTTTCTTCTGATGAACAACATAAATCCTTTCTTCTGATGAACAACATAAATTCAAGTTTCTGTCAAAGTGGAACCAACAGACATCACAATCGAGCCGTCTTTTTATAAAAAAAAACAAAACAATAACACAAACAAAAGGCACAATTACACAGTGATTACAAGAAAAAACCTTACGGCGATATTGAGCTGGTAAACGAGGCCAATTTTCTCGATCAATTCTTTTCCGGCGTCAGAGACGAGGTGAAGCTTCATCTGCTCCATAAGAGCGTCGGATTTTAGCTGACTGGAGTCCGCCATGGCTGCCGCCGCCGGTGATTTCTAGAATGCTACTTGCCGATGGAGCAAATCGGAGTGGTAGTATAGAGAAATCTCTTGGACTCGGATATGTCATAGAATAGAGAGAAAGATGGACTATGATGGCATTGATGTGCGTCGTGAGAAGGGGAGATTTCACTTTGCTTTGTCTTCTCGATTTGGATTTGGCTATGGAGAGTGGAGACGATTTCACATGTATAGATTTAAAACGGCCAGGAGAGATGTTCTATTTTTGAAATAAAAAAGTTCACGTGAAAAAATAAAAGTTATAATTGAAAAGAAAACATTCTGGTGACATAAATGAAATATGCCGGACAAAAGTTGTCCATCCGGGTAATTTCCACCTCAATATATAAGTATACATACTTTTTCTTAACTTATATTACAAATATATACTTCAACATACATATGCCCGTATACAATAAATCATAAATTCTTTGATCTTATAATATATGAATATATATTAGAATGAGATGGACGGCGGATTATCAATGTCTTCTTTATATATAGAATTTTAATACATTTATTCAATTATTAATATAACTAATTAGATTAACTATTCAAATTTGAGTAATTTTTCCTTAATTTTTGAAATTTTTAGCGTATCATGAATTTGATTTAATATATTGATTTTTAATTATTATTTAGAGATAAACATTATGTAGATTCAATTGGTAACAACTTCCCACAAATAAAAATACAAACTAGCTAATTAGGTTGCAGCGGGGCGGACCCGCCCTCCCCGCATGGGTCAACAAGTTTGGACCCGTGCAGGTCACGGGGCGGGGCGGACCCGCCCCTCCAAGTCACGGGGTGGGTCCGGGTCTTGTAATACCCGCCCCGCCCCGACCCATTGTCATGCCTAATGTGATCAAAGTTTTAAAAGGCAGAGGGAATACTCAACATTTGGTATGAGGCATAGAAAGATTTTACATTGTTGATTAGGCATGGACTCGGTTCGGGCCGACCGGCCCGGGAACCGACCTGGCCCGGGAAACCGGTTCCGGTACCGGGCTTAGGCCCGGCCCAAGGGGGTAATCGGGGGCGGTTCCAGGTCATGAAAAAGGCAAACCGACCCGGCTAGGCCCGGTTCGAGCCTTTTTTTTTTTGGTTTTTTTTGGGGTTTGGGCTGGGTTTGGGTGGGCTGGGGGTTTGGGGGTGGGGGTTAAAATAAATAACAAAACACACACACAAAAATTAAACCGGAACCGGCCCGGAACTGGTAGACTCTCGGGCCGGTCCCGGGCCTTACCCAAAACCATCCAATCCCGGCTGGGCCTAGGCCCGAACCGAAACCGGAACCAGGCCCGGTCCACCCCTATTGTTGATCCCATAACTATTCGAACATTCACACAACTGATTCCATGACTTGTTATTGTCTGTGTCTTGCCCGTTTCAGTCCTCGACTACTTGTATTAGTGGATTAAATGATTTCTTCCACTTCCGAATCCCAAACAATTCTATTAGGGATCAGTAACAAAAATTAAACAAAAATTGTTGATTTGGTGAACAAAAAATGAAATTTGGTGACCAAAAGTGTAATGACCAAAGTGATGAGACCATAATTGGTGCATTTTCAAATTTCAAGAACATTACTAGGATCTAGTTTGCTAAAAAGTAAAGAAGCAGGAGGAGTTTTTTGTTTTCTGAAGAACATTAGAGCATAAAAATGGATTAGGGTTTCTAATGATAATACAGAAGCACTAACTACAAAAGCTACCTAGTTCATGCATCTTTACATACTCATGCGAGTTGAACATTGTCCACAGAATTCTCCTCAAAAAGCAATTTCAATAATAATGTTCAGCTCTCAAGATGCTGCTACTGCTTCAGAGATGTTACCTACTACTACGGATACTGGCAGGAGATCGGACCCCACCTCTATCACTACTAACCTCATCGATGCAAAGTGCATTGTTATTAACACTGACTTCAGAACTAGCATTACTGCTTGTTGCGAGTGGTGAATCGGTAACACTCACTGTCCTGCTCCTACTTTGCCGTGATCTCACACTGTAC